CTGTGAACACTAATAATTCCTAGCTTGTACATTAGCTGCAAAGAAAGGTCAGCTTGGCTCAAATTTACCTTGCTGACGAGAACGTATTGATTTTGAATACTCCTCTCAGCCAGAATCCTTGCAACTCACACACCTCCTTAACGCAATATTCTCTGTCATAGTCAATTTGTTTCATGCTTTAATAATATTTGAATAATTACACTGAGACAAAGCTGAAGTTAAAATACCCGGAGAATATAAATTCCAAACTTTGTGACCTGTATGATCACTATGTGTCTTAAATTAGTGCATAGTGAAAAGTTCTAACTGCAGTATATCTTTGTTTCTTGAAGTAATATGATTGAACATAAATTTCAACTTGTCATTTATGCTTCTAATTCAGATGGGAATTTTTCTGGATGATAGTTTATATGCTCTACGAATCAAGTTATTAGTCCATAAAACATCTATACAATATTAAAAATGACACATTCCCTCTACCAAATATATTAAGTACTAGCAACAAATTATATTGCAAATCTTTTAAACATGAGTCCCACCACCATCAGTATTGTGCATATTCAAGGCAATTGTAAAAATACCTATATTTACTATACCAACTTTCTGCTCCTAAATCTTTACTCTTCTTCCCCAAAACTTCATTTACATCTCTGTGATCATCTTAGAATATAGTATTAAAGCATGATGTGCATACAATATTGACTTCCTTTAAGAGATGGTAATTTGTGCGAAATAGTTTCTTTTACAAACAAATATCAAGATCGAATGTGCCCCTTATATAAAGGGATGATTTTTTATGTCTAACTCTAGACTAACTGAAGTAAGGAGGTAGGAGAAATATCACAAAAACATGATCATGAAGTTCAGTCTCCCTCACCTTAAAATTCTAGCTACAGGACTACGTTCACAAAAGTTAGTCTGTGCCCATCTGTCTACGAGAGCACGTTTTTGTATAGATTGATGTGAAATGACTGGAGCCAACTTTGAACTTTCTGGAATATTTTAAAGCTTTATCTAATCAATGAAACAGAGAATGTCCGAGCCATGGAGATATAGTCAAAAACTCCACTACCCTAAATAAGATTAGCAAATTCAAAGAATAAACTATAATTACGATAATTAAATAATGTTATTTTAAATAATCTATAATTTTTGTTTTATGTATTACCAACCTCTTTATTTGAAGGTTTTGGTGAGGTTCATATTTCCTGTAACCTTAAGCAGGGGATTTGGAAAATTTTGGAGGAATCAAGGTAACAAGAATGTATAAAAGAATAATTTATTGCTGTGACCATTTTGTCCTCTGATTTCTGTTTTGGGATTATACTGGATTATCTCTGTCTAAAACCTATTTTTCATATCCCTGTGGAAATCAATTGACAAGTTCACAAGCAGGAAAGCAAAATGAAGAGATCTAATCAATATTTAAATTCAAATTTTTATGCTACAATTTCTTTGAACATTGATTTTATAAAATATTAGGTGCATCCTCAAATACAAAGCCTCCAAGTAAAATTGAAACTAGTTTGAAACAAAAATATTTTATTAAAGTGAAACAATCTCAATGTCACTTTTTATAAATTCTAATTATGATAATTCTATTCAAATAGGGGAGCAGCAATACTATAAAATTTTTCAAAGTACTTAGAATTTTTATGCCTGAATTAAATTACTTTACCAGGAAAAAAAATCAGATAAACTTTTATCAATTGTATAATCACCAAAACAACAATTTTTTTAATACAAAAATTATTTTGGGAGACAATTTTTCAAATTAAAATAAAAAGAATACATTCATTCAAATCTTGTTTACTAATTTTTCATTACTAGAAATTAACAATAAAAACATTGGGATATAAGAATTGATTAAATACTCTAAAAACCTAAAACCCCTTTTTTTCCTGGAAAATACAAGAAAACATCAGTTTTTAAATAATTTTGGAAACAAATTAAAATCAATTGCTCTTCAGTGGGTTTAGTTTACCTTTTAATCTTAAAAAATATTAGTGAGCTCAAGTGTTTTTGTTCTCAGAACTGTTTTAGTATATTTTTCAATCTTTTTAGGTACGTTACTGCATTGAAATCCAGAAATGAAGAAAAAACCCCTGTGGTCAGGTTTCTAAATGAGTATAAAATCTCCATCATATTAAAAAGTGTTTCCTGACTCTTATATCAAGATTACTTCAAGTGAATAAAGAAGATAATTACTTTAAAAATATATGTTTCATATAATATTTAGAGACTGACTTTTTAATCATAATTTTCTCACCTTTTTAAAAATATAATTTAGAAGTCGTTTCAGGTTTCTTCAAAACCCACTTTTTGATCAGCTATTCATTTTCCCAAGAATGTATTAAAATCCTGGGTTTTGAATTGATTAGTTTCCACATGATGAAAAAATAGTTATAATTTCTTCCTATTTCTTTGTAGAAGTTTATTAGTATAATTTTACCTCTCCCAAGGTAAGATTAATAATCTTAAGATCTTGTGAAAAGCTTTGGTAACAATCTGATAATCCACAATTGTTCCTTTTATTACTAGGAAACTGGATTTAGGAATGCAAAAATTACTTTAAATTTCTTGTTCCCAAACTGCATGTATTAAAAAGTTTCCGTAGCAACTACAAAGCATAATACCAGTCCCGAAGTAACTCTCCAATAATAGCTCAAAAAAGCATCTATGATATTTAAACACTTAATATGTTAACACAACTTTCTTAAACAGTAGAATGAATTACTCAGTTTTCAGACACTGATATTTTAAGTTTAGGTAGCTCTGTGAAGCAAAAGCCTAGTTTGCATCTGAACACAGACACCATCTCATCCATTTTGTGGACTTGAAAAAATAGGACAAGCTAACAAGCATGCTTTTTAAAAGGCAATGAAAATATTTAAGCTGCTTCTATGGAATTTTCTTTCTTACTTCTAATCGTCTTGGTCGTTATCTGTGCACAGTTATAAACATGGCTTTCCATGACTTCAGGCTATCTATGACCAAGGTCTACCTCACAGTTCTGTTTTAAGAAATTATTTGTTCTTCCATTCCTAATTAGAAAAAGACCACTTGCTTTTATCACCTTCTATATTATCCGCCCTGCATACTAAAGAACATGTATAGAAAAATATTGCCTTTTCTTGATTTTTCCTATATTTAAGAGCTCTGAAGCATAAAATGCTGATTATTTCCTAATGAAAAGATAATTCTAGACAACATATTGCCATTTATAATAACATTTTGGGGGATTTCACCCAAATGTAACAGAAGACAGGGAACAAAAAGAGATGGGAACTAATAATGTCATTGTGCCGTTTTTGATCCAGTGACATGTTTAACATTTACAGTTTTTTAATTTTTTTTTTTTCAATCTAAAGACAAAATTAAAATTACTGGTTTTTCCAGTAATTTTTTATTCATGGTCACTGCAACCACCAGGTATCTTTTCAGCAGAGATTTTTGGTAGATTCTATGTTACCCTGCAAACTCACTACTTTATTTTTCTCATGATATTTGAATCCATAGCACTGCATTTGATTCAACATATGGAACAAAAACACGTGTTTTAACAGCAAAGTCTGCAGGACAGACCTGCAAACATTTAAACGTGTGTCCAGCTTTACTCGCGTAAGCAATCTCATATCATTTCTTATGTTTGCTTGCATGAATAAAGCTGCTGGTTCATTGAAACGCTCACAGAACTAGGTATAAGGAATGTGTAGTTTACTTCATACAGCTATACGTATATGTGGCAATTTCACAGGTCATTGCAGTATATATATTTCCGCAGTGGTCCACAGAGTTTACAGTCCCTTTGAAAACTAATGCCACGATCTTGTGAGCACTTACTCGTGTCCATAATCACACTCATGTGAGTGCTACTAGACTGTTCTCAAGAATAAAGTTACTGAAACGCATAAGTGTTTGCAGGTTGAGGACCTAAAATTGTTAATACCATACAAGTCCTGTACAAATGTTGTGTTAAGGCGCCATCCTGAAAGCACTTACTCCTGAGTATGCAGCAGCTGTGCTTATTTCTGGGGCTAACCCCTTTGAAATGAAGCGCGGTAAGCAGCAAAGTCACTACTAAATATTTAAATGACTGTACTCCAAAATGTGTTCCCTCATCCATTCAGACAGAATGTAACCAGAGGAAAGTTACAGTTCTGTAGTGTTTCCTCAGATGATGGAAACCAGTTTGAAGCCACAAATTGTCCTGAACAAATGATCTAGCATTTGTCCAAATCTACCTCTACCAAATGAAAAGAGTTGCAAACTACTAAAACAGCAATATCCCTAGCCACTCATATTTTTGAGGAAATAATCCTCTAACAGACCTCATCCTGGCCAGGACACTAAGTTTCAAACCACTCATTAACTGCTCATAACGACCAGTTCCATAGGAATGATTAATTAAGAAAAATATATTTACTAAAGTGTCACATAAAACCCCAAGACTCAGATGTGTAAGGCACAACACAATTGCACTTGGGAAACGGTAATGAAAATCCACTGATTTTATGCCCTTCCTTACCTACCTTGTAACATAAAACAGACTATAAGAAAAGCTATGTTTGCAGCACAGTAGTCACTGGGCCCATGCCCCTCCCTAGCACCAGCAGTCGCCTGTCTCAACTTCCCCTGGAGTTCAGCAGCTACATCTCCTCCGCTACTACGATTTTCCACCCCTGTCTGAGGGTGCTGTCTCAGAATCATGGCCACGCGAATAATAGCGCCTCGTGGTACATACTGTTGGACCTACTTCTATTTCACACCCTCTACCGAAGGAGACATTTCTGTTTATTTGCTGTGTTTGGTTCTCATTGTGAGCTTTATCTTGGCTCAGAGATCAAATGCAAGCCTGCAGAGCTAGTGAGTACAGACCAGAATTAAAACAAGATGCCCGCACAGTACTTGCCTGTGACACAGTTCACCTTACTAAATATTTTATCAAGACAGTATTAAGAACCTGAAAACATGAGTGCTTCTTCCTGTGTTGTTTTATAGCATCTAGTTTTGTGACTTCTTGTTTTATTATGTGTATGAGCTTATAAAAAGATGAAATGTGTCCATAGCAGCTGCACCAGGGCTCCAAGTAAAGGTTCCTGCAATATTAAAATCCTAAAATTATGTGCCGGCCAGTAGCAGGCTTCATGTTGCACAAGACTAAACAGAGAGACACTGCGTTTTTACCCATGATACAAGTGAAAAATTTAGTGCAGAAACAATACTACTATTTGGTCAAAGTCCTTAAACTGAGATTTATGCTCTCTTTCAGTTTTGAGAACCGAATTTCAAAATATATAAAATCAATAGATTTTTTTAAATATATTTTTTATATATACACACATACGTATTCCCACACTTCTAACACATCCTGAATATTTTGGAATTGAAAAAACAGTATTCTCTCATGAAAGCAAGATAAAGTGATAATGTTATTAATGTATCATCGGTAAGAAAATTGATACTGCTCAACATCTAGGAATATTTTTCTTTATAAGAAGCAGCAGAGTTTCAAGTTCACCAGAAATGTGTCAGTATAAATCCAAACAGAACAATCCTTACGACATCTTTGTGACTCAGGTAGATGTATTTCCTGTTCTCTGTAGAGTTGTTTTGGTTTTTTCCCTCTGAGCTCATTTGGATTGCTGAATAGCACAGCATTAGTTCTCTCTTTAAAGTAGTTTAGAGATACTTTAAATTTTACTAGCATCTGAATGAAAATTACCCCACTAAAACAGGACCTACAAAAAGCTTCAGCAAAAGCACAGAGACGCGCTATGCAAGGAAGGCTTTGTATGACTATGCAATTTCATGACTGTGCCATTGTTGGTATTTTATTTGCATATAGATATAATTTACCTGTAAAACCTATCTTTAGCTGATATTGGTGCTCTGGATGTTACTTTGTACTTTTTCAAAATTTTTCCTTTCCGTCATTTGGTACCGAGTCAAACAGAAATCTGTCTACAACTGTGGGACATCTCTGAAGAATGAATTCTTAGAAAATTGTCTTTTTTCCAAAGGGATAGAAGATACCACCAAATACTAAAAGACTCTCCCTGGCATATTTCAGCTAATACTAAGGGGTTTAATTAATGTGGTCTATTATTTCTTCAAAGATAAAATTTTAAAACATAACTTTTTTGTAGTCTCATACATGTAAAACTGAGAATTTTGCTATTCATTTGAGCTTTTTTATTCACAAGCACGGATTATTTTGGTATCAGGATTTTTGTTTCTAAGCACTAAGTATCACCATTCATCTTCCTATGAAAGTTACTACACTAATATTAAGCATTTCAGATCATAGCAGTGATAACTTCTGTATGGGAGTTCTGAAGCTTTCTACAAAACCCAAGTAGAGGGGCATAGCAATGGTCGCCTACAGGTATCAATGTTAAGGAAGTCATTTGATCATATCATACATGAGCACAGTTCCTTTTATAGATAGAGGTGGGTTTGATTTAGTTTTGATTTTATTTGTTTGGCACTCAAAAGCAATGGAAATAAGGTTCCAGTTGAGATCTGAGCTTTTATATTTCCATATGAACGCAAGTGGAATCAGGAATGTAAAGTTTCTCCCGGTTTGTATTTCCAAGTGCATGGGCCTGCAACTAACAGTACATCAGAAATACTGGCTACTGCACTTCAACATAGTGATTGGAAAGCCAGGAGAGAGAGGGTGCCCCGGGTGACACAGCTTTGCAGTCCACCATACTAAAGGCACATTACTATGTCAATACAGCAATCTTTAAGGATAACATTTGCAGTTTTTGGCATGGAACAGCCAACGTCACAGTGTACAGCCCACCAAAGGGTCCATCACAACAAGCCCCATGTCTCCAGCTCTCCCTTCACAGGCCCTCCCATAGACTGACAGTAGAAATGCCTTTTTTGTTTTTTCCCAATCAAAAGAGAATAAGGAGAGAGATGCACAACTCCATTTACTTCCATCCAGCCTGCATCTTGGAAGAGAAGCCTGGTTCTGTGAAACTGCCCCAGACTGGACTGTGTGTGGGTTTCCCCCTGGCTGCTACGCCTGCGCTCCTGGGAGCAGATGTCCTGTTAAGTTGTTTGGACTTCATATGCAACAGCTTGGCAAGCAACTGAGTATGATATATTGATATTATTAACTAACTGCTATACTTTAAAGGATAAGCAGGCATAAATAACAAGGATTTAAGGCACTAGTAAAAAGTTTGCATGCTCAGCAGCAGACCCTTTCTTGCAATTACATCAATCCAAAAACTGCATGTTCCTTCTCTAAAACTTTGTTTATAGTCCAAGACCATCAAATAACAGTGCTACTGCTGGTAAACAGTAGCAACTCTGATTAAAACTACTTTTTTCTCAGGTGGTGTAGTCTTAAACCAAAACATCTACCTATAAGACACGAGCTAAACTCTAATAATTTTAATGTCTACTTAAGACATCTTCAATCAAGAACAGAAAATTGCATTTTTCTCCATAGTGTGCATGCTTGCAAGAGATTGAACATGAACAACACCCCAAGGAAGAACTTCATTAAGATACCCACAATAGTGATTTTTTAAATTTTATTTTTTTTTAAATCCAGTGACTAGGTGAACAGGAATGGAATCAAACCATCAAAGCAGGAATCTCAATTACCTGCCTAAAGATTTGTGTGGGGGTGAACTCACTTTATATTCACCTTATATCTCCCTCGTATGCTTTTTACCCTGCTCCCCTTCTTCCTACTTCTGAAGTAAACTACTTTTTGCTGACAATTCAAAACATTTCTGTTCAAAGCTCAGTTGTGAGTCTTAGAGATTTTGCATCTGAACAGCAGTTCATTCCACTCCATTTTACAAAGGAGACTTCAGAGACTATGAGTCACTGTGCCATTGCAGCTGTGACTCTGAGACCAGACTATCTTTTTTGTGTGTGTATATGCAAAAACATTGTTTCTTAGGAGCATGTGCTAGTCTTTATTTGTTGGTATGATCTAAGTATTTCCAGAACATCCCATCTGCTGATCAGGAGTTTGTAGAGAGAGGGCCCTTTCCCATATATGTTCCCCCTTCCCTCTTCTCCCCACACTCTCTTAAACCTCCCCACTATTAGGAATGACACAGGGAGAAATTTCTGCGAGACAAAATGAATCGTGAAGATGCTTTCCATGCCAGGACAAATTTCCCTCCTCTGGGATCATCAACCCTGCTCAGCATTTCAGGTCCATGTCTAAACTCTTAACCCTTTGCTAGCACTGAGCCCTGAATGAAAAGAGACACACATATCCAAATGCTTGAAATCAGTGGCACACTTTGGCCTGTGCCAAAATAACTGCCAGTTAGGCCTTATATGGGTTGTCAGTTGGTTTTTTTTGTTTTGGTTTGGTTTTGTCTGTTTGTTTTGTTTTTAACTAGATTATTCTACATTTTGGCCAGCTGGAAGGGTCATTTATTGCCACAGTTATGGCAAACATAACTCCTTTGCAAAGAGGATTTCTAGCAGTCATTTTTACGCAGTTTGTCACAAAGTTTCCAAAATAATATTCAAATGCTAAGTTCTGACTTCAGTCAAAAGTTGGTCTTTGAAATCAAGATTGACAGTTAAGTCATAGAAGGATTTACAATCCCATTAAAGAAAAAGAGAAGATAAAAATACAAACATGCAATAACATAAAATCTGATTAGCTATACATGGGTACATAATATTAGAAAAATTAAAAACCCCAAAATTACAAACAACAAAGTTAAAAATCAACACCCCCTTATTCTTATTTTGTTCCACAAGATCTTTGGATTTTTTCAGGGAAACAAGTAATAAAAATCAATTCAATACATCAGCAATAAAAAAATTTGTAATATAAGTTACTGTCTATTGTAATAGACAACTAAATTGTGATGTAAATTAATATATGTTATGGCTTAATTTATATTAAATATATCAATGAAAATAAAAATATTTAGGATACAGCCAACTACTGTAACAATTTATTCTGGTGCAATTTTAATACCAGAGTTTTTAGAATATTATTAAAAATAATTGTATGTCTTGGTTCCACTATTCCATTTATCCCTTTCATGTATTATAAAATTCAGATTAATTTTGGTGGGGTTTTGTTTTGTTTGGGGTTTTTCTTTGTTTGTTTTGGGTTTTTTTCAAATCATGAATGAATAAGAAGAAATTATTCTCAGCTACAGACTATCATATATCAAATAGTGCAGTAACATTAGTTTTGAAATTCTCATTTTCAGAAGTCTCACAGACTGAGCTAAGAAAGATCCAAGAGTCATAGAAATATTTCTTTCCATATAAGAGAGCCAGATTTCTTGCACTAACATTAAAAATCACCCTCTGTTCGAACTCCGTGCACCAATGTAAATCACATTACAATCTGCCGTGGATTCTACAAAATACACAGTCCCTTTTCTAGACATTTGCAATTCCCACAAATATCCTGCAGATCTGCTAGGTCAGCACAAGATTATCTGTGTCATTTAAATCCTGCATTATGGCCGCTGGAGCTGAAGGGCACAGGCAAAGCTGCCATGCAGTGAGGCTCACCACAAACACAGACAGGGGTCTGGGCACAGCCTCACTGCTGAGGGTGAAGGAGGAAAGGCAAGACAATGGGACGTGTGTACCTGGATCCACTAGTTATATTATTTTATACCATTGTGTACTCTGAATTAGTACAATGGCACTGTATGAAGCCAAGTTATGTCAACAAAAACCTAACTAATTTAAATGTCCTTTATTCACACAGATTCTGATAAAAAGTTATTTTTAACCTTGAGAAACTCCCCAATACAAATAAATTGTGTATTTAATTTCTTTTCAAATATCCTTTCCGCAAAGGAACATTTTATTTGTATTGATGAAATAATTTAAGCATTTTTCTTTGTAATATCAAATGCTGTTACATTAATATTTTGAAACTAAAATAGTTGAAATGCTGCAAAGATGGCATATACTAAAGGAAAGGCTGATGTTGCAGGAGCACAAGTTAGATTTTTAACACTCACATATGATAAGTATCAGTATCTTTGCATATTAGGCAGCAGTTCTTTAATCACACCCACTTGACCACTTCCCACCAGTTTAGTCCCACCAGTGGTCCACTTAAGCTGTGAAAGTGCACAACGTGAAAATTAAGGAGACTGTCAAAAGGTACGTTTCCAAATGAAAAGGCTTAACGTGAACCTTCTGAATCAATATTTAACTATCTAAAATATAAGTGCCTACATTTCCAGTAAGTTATTTGCAGAAGTGCTGAGCATTACTGAACCCCTTCTCTGTGAGACGCAGGAGTTCAGCACCTTTGAAAAAAACAGTATGATATTAATTAGGTCTGAGAGGTGAATTTAAGACCCTAAAATCTGAAATTATGAAAACATGTAATTTCCATATGATACACCTGGAAATATGAGAGGTGGCAGTGGGGAGGAGCAGCTCAGAGAAAGTGACAAAGGAAAGAAAAAAACCCATCCCAAGTCCCATTGTAATAATTTAGAGAAATTAAGTGCAATATAGATTATAGTATGCTATTTGGAATCTATTTTTTTGTTAGAGATAAATTATTTCATTTACCAATCGCCTATTCCTGTACTGAATATTCATTGAGTTTATTACATTGCATTTTATAAATATGTGAAAAGAAAAAATTATGAAATGTTGCCTATACTTAGAAAAAAGTCTGAAAATCATGTTCCCATATTCTGATCTATGTTCCTTCAAGTCATACAATGTATCTTTGCAGAACTAAATGAAGTATAAAACTAGAGATTAACATCATTACACTTGGAAATACAAACTGTTGTAATAAAATGAAGACATAGATTCTTCCCACCAAGTTAATTTGAATAGTTTTCATTCTCTTTAGTGGAGCGTTTTGCTTTTAATTGCACGGTAACATGTCTGGCTTGTAGTCTATATCCAAGGAAACAATTTCATTTGACCTTCAATAGATAATATCAGAATTAATTTCTAATAATATTGAGTATTCTCTGAGCTAGAATGATGTAAAAATATTTCTTTTTTGAGCTATAATTTCATTCATTTTCAGATTATTCTTTATGAAAAGGAAACTGATAAAATATACTCTTTTCTTTTTCTTCCTTAATCTCTCCTCACGTGTCTCATTTTTCCTTTGTTCTCTGTCTATCTTCCTCATATTCACCCTTCCAAAGGCTAGGAAAAGGCTGTCTCTAGTCAAATATTCTCAGCACTGCTTTTACATACCATGTAAGTACTATTTCATTTACAAGATTTTTATGAACTCTTCCTTTCCTAAGTGAATGTACAAAAGAATATTTTTCTACCTTCTAAAAAAGAAATGAAATTGTCTGCATTGACAGAATCAGCACTCAGGTTCTGAAACAATAGACTAATCATCCTTTAAAAGTGCTGCTTTTTTTGCCTTTGTTCTTTACTCCCCCCCTCCCTCCCAACACATTTACTGTAAAAGTAGATCATTTCACAAACATCTGACATTAATAAAAACACTTCCATGTTTGTCGTATTTTTCTTAGTAGCTTTCATTTACACAATCTGCAAAAGTGAATTTGATTTTAAATGAAAAACTAAAACTTCTTTTTATGAATAGTTCAATCAACTTTTGTCTGGATAAAAAAGAAAGTTTTTGACCAAATCATATGTAATCATACACATACACCCTCCCCCCACAATTAATTTGAGAAGCTCTTGTAAGCTTCTTTTTTTCCGACATATATTAATCCATGTCCCACACATAAAAATTGCAATAACAACTGCCTGTAATAATACCACTTTCAGAAGTCACATCCTCAATGAATCAAAGAAGGGTGGATATATATAAGCACATATCATTTCTAAATCAACAAAAATGTGTTAATTGTAACTTCCTCTATCACCAAAATCAGTCTCACTTACCTGTCTACTGACAATAAACATCCAAGAAAAGTAACAAAAGAAGTAGTCCAACAAATAAAACACAGCAAGAAAGGGCCGCTTCTAATTTTAAAATAAGCCAAACAACATTAAAAGGTACCACAGAGGTGCCAAGCAACTAGTAGTTGCAGACATTATGAAGGCTATTTTGAAAGTCAAAGTATTTTCACAGTCTTGGAGGAGCAAAGACAGAAGACAACAGCTTGCATTCACAATCAAACTCACTAAGTTTCTTACTTAGTAAGAATTTCTAGGAGATAGACCCAAAAATATCTTAAGAATTGAACAAAGTAAATACCATATGTCTTAAATAAGGAGCATATCTCAAAGCATATCTTTAATAAACATTTATTATGTGCTTATAAAGAGTATTTACATATAAACTTTGATGTATACTCTGTATCTCTGCATCAGTACATGAAAATTAACTGTTGACTTTGAGAACACAAGAATTTTATTGGTATGAATTACATTATTTTGCGCAGTGCGAAAGCATAGATTGAAAGCTAGCTTTCATAACAAAATTGGGTTTTGAAACTCAAAAAAAAGTATATTTTTTCATGTAATTATAGTTGAACATCCTGTTAAAAGAACCATATATTTACAAGCCCTCTGATTGTGTGCTGTTGCATTTCTTCCAAAAAATTCACTAGGTTTCTTAAACAAACCACAATATTCCGTATTCCTTATAGCTAGTAACTTGGAAGCTTTATCATTATTTTGACTACTGGAACTCAAATGTATACAATATTTTAATTACTAAGTGACTAATTTTTATGCTGTTATAGAAAAAAAGTTTTACAAACATTTTATAAGAAATAGAACTGTAAATCAATTGTACCATTTTCAGAACTAATTTAGGATTTCAAATTATTTTTCAGCCCTTCATTTATAGTGAATAAACATGTTGGAAATGCTTCAAATTTCTATTCACAATTCTTGCTGGGGATTTGAAAGGTTTCTATTTTATTTGCTTTATTTAATGCAAATATCATCAAAAGTGAGGAGGAAAGAAAAACAAGCGTCCATTGCTGGGCCTTGATGGCTTTCATAACTTTGAAGTTATATGCAACAGAGTCGGATCCTGAAACTCTTACTGCTACAAAGCTTGTCGCTCTCTAAGCTTCGCAAGTTTTGTGTCTTCGTCCTCTTCTTAACCTTCAGTCTGACTATTAATATTTTACATTATTCCTCACCTGCCAAGCTTCTTCAGTATTGTTTTTTATTCGACTTCTTCTGGGCATGTAAAACTATTCCCTCTTCTATATTTTTGACTATATTCACCTGCAGATGGTACCCCAAAATGTTCCTTCCTATATATTACTGGACCAGGCAATATTCAACAAGGTGTGTAATTTTGGGGAAAGCTTATGCTACTTTGAGATTAGTGGAACCACAACAAACCAACCAAAAAAACCAAACAAACCAAAATACCACCCAAACAAACAAATCAACCAAACCCATGTTATTCCCCCCCCAACATCTGGACCTCTTTAGACACATTCGGATTTTAAGAAAAGTTCTCTTTTACTTTTCTGTTTTGTCTGATCAACTTGTGAGCTACACTTCTCGCTTTAAGGACAGAATACGCAAAGACTTGGCTTCATTCACTGCAGGTCAAAAATCATCAATCGTAATTTTGAAGCAAACAGTTAAAATAGGCACTCATTTCAAGGAGTATTTTGTATTTGGTTTGACAACATTCCTAAAGCTTCCAAAGCTTTTGTTGCTTTATTTGCTATGTATAGCAAATCTGCTACTGAGTCATGGCACAGTGACATATATAATAAAAAGCCCATACGTGTTAGAGTTACATAAGCAATTTGACTTCTTTTTGGATCTCTATTGGATAGCAATATGATGGACAGCCACATTAACTAATTGGTGCTATATTCCAACATACATTAACTAATTTAAAATGTAATATTTGAAAGGTTCCACCAATGTGCAGCCAATTATCCATGTGGGCAATTAAAATCATATATACTCACATTTAAGAGCAGAATCATTAAATCCAGAGCTGCTGGTGTTCCCATAGAATGGACTCAAAACAGTGAGTGCTCAGCTTTTCACAGACTTCACACCATGGATCGAGCATGTGGTTCTGCATAATAGGAGATAGGATTGGTCATTTTTACATTTTTGTTAAGTCACAAGAAATTTAGAGTTGTAAAAGTCACTATTTGGAGATTAGTTGTAGCTTTTTTTTCTTTTTTTTTTTTCTTAATAGGGCAAGTAACCATTTGTGCCCTGGTTAAAGGCATTTTTTATAAGTTATAATTTTAAAGATAGTAATTCTAATAAATTATAGAAGATAATATTTCAATTAATGTTTACTTATGTAAACTCCATTGCTTTTTGTACAAATGAAAGTATAAAGCGGGGTTGCATGATTTCATTCAAACCTATCTTATTTCTCTGTCAAATTTAGTGGCACAGCTGTTTACCATGAGGGAATGTGCAAAGGTGTGAAAAATATATTTTATTAGCACAATACAGAGAAATATCAGCCTTCAAGTAAGAAGGTATCTAACTTTCAACTTTCTCCTTTAGACAGTGAAAAAAACCACCAAAATATGCACACATTACAGGCACATATTATTAGCAGGACTAGGTCTTAGGAGGTAATGGAAGGAGTGGGAAAGAGATGTAGTGTGGCAGCTTTGCAGAGATGAGCTGACATAAAGACTTGTTGTCCTTTGTTTTCCCTGTCTTTCTGTCTTTGCTCCCAACCCTCTTATTTCACTCCTTTGCAATGAGTGTGGCACTGACTCCAGGAATCAATTCAACTCAACAGCCAAGGAAAAAATGTATGATTAGTTTTGGTCAGAACATTTTTCTACCAGGTTGGTGATTTCAAGTGTCTTAAGTCAGTACCAAGTTTGAGGCAGAAAACAACAATAACAAAACAAACAAATGCCACCAAAAAATCAACCAACAAACAACAAAAAAGCCCAAAAAACCCTGACAAAACCAAGAGAGTGTGACCACAGGAAGAGATGGGAAGAAGTGGCCAGGGAACCAGGATCTTTCAAAAACAAGCAAACACGTCAACGTGTTCACCTCATGATACGAAGCTGCGTCTTGGGCTGCCTGATATCATGACGAAAGAAGGTACAGAGGAAAGGGTAGTCACAGCAGGTTGTGACTGGAGACTTTAGATGCCAAACACCTCCCAAAATTGCTATGCTTATTTGTGCTGAAAAATGAGGTCAAACATAATTTGTGATGTTCACAAGGTTTGGAGCAATGAAGGTTCCTCTTCAATAGTGTCCAAGCACAAAGTCTTTCAGAAGGTGATGCTCAACACCCTGAAGGTTGGCAAGGCTATCACCACTCAAACAAATGTGCAGGGACACCACTAGATCCGGTTTGGCAACTTGAATGACACGACTGCTGGAGGACCTAAGGAGTACAGGAGAAAGCACATACAAAGTGCCAGCCCAAGTACCCATGCTCCCACGAACATGCAGATGCCCTTGGGAGAACAAAGAAGGACTAAAGCATCCCAGCATATCACACTACCTCATTTGAGCGATCCCCATTGCCATGGATTACCCTCACTAATGAGCAACCACACATTGTAAGGCTGGATACTCCTCTGAATTGAGCCCCCAGAATATCTGTTGGAAGATATTCTGTTATATGAGAATCAGGACTGTTTTGCTCATTACTATGATGAAGTCCCTGCTCAGCTGTCTTCAGTACTGGTCAGTTGCTACAGCTCAGGAAAAAAGAAAAATGATACATCACATTTTAAAGATCTTTCCAAAATACTTCAATTGAACTTTCCAGAGTTCAAACTACTAAACAAATAAAGAGCTTGCATGCATTTACATTAATAAAAAGAGGAGAGATTTTTTCTTGTTATAGTTACCTCATATTACAAAGGGGAGGAAATCAGATTTCTATATCTGCTTTCCCATCATATAAATGCTACATAAATTAATTACCATCTTTCCAAATGTGTCAGTTCCTACTGAGAATTTATGAGATTAGAGAGATCTTCCTTAGAGGCAAGCATGATTAGATCCTAAAGTAACTAATACTTGTTCAGTAAAGGATGTCATATAAACTATTCCAGAGTTTTTCACAGAAACCGCTAGTTTTCCTATCATCTTTACAAGTAATAATAACAACAGTCATTATTGCTAGTGTACTTTTTATGTTGCACAAGGGCAAACAGGAGCAAATTACAGTAACCCATTCCTGAAAGCTGTTGAATGTCTTCCTCTCCTATCAATATAAATAAAAGACAATTACACACAACTAATCAATGATACTATTCTCGTGAAACACTGAAAAACTTCATAAAGGAAACAAGATAGAAGGAAACACCTCTCTAAGAAACTGTTGTGATGATGCATCAGCCCATGCTATGCTTTCTAAACTGCACAAGGAATGCAAACATGCACTTTAGCAAGAAGAAGTGAATTGCTTACTGTGTGCATTCTGCCATCTATTTTTGCCCAGTGAGGGCAGAGTGCCCAGCCCTGCAGGACTTGGGTCGTGTTACCTCCTGAGTTCTTCTTGTGGCAGGACTTACCACAATAGAGTCTGCTGTTCTTATTAAAAATAACTTTCAATACTAGACTCCCAACAGCAATTCAAAGACCTGTTTCCGCACTGCCTCTCTCCTTAAAACTCCTGCCCAGGTGTATCGTACCTAACATCTGCAGTCCTACAGTCCTGATTCTCTAAGCCTTACAAATCCAGAACAGGGTGGCAGCCAGGTTTCCAAGATGCACAAAAGATAGTCTCTCTTCCCAACACTACATCCCTAATTACTGTGAAGCAGTAATAAAACCCACTTACAAACAAAGTTTTTTACTCTTTACAGTGTTGGATCAGGATAGAGCCGGGAAGAGATGCATACTTCATTTCCTAACCTCGAAACCTGACAGCAGCTACTGAGGTCTTTGCAAGCTCTCTCTACATTCCCTATCAAAACAGATTACCCGATTTACACCAGGCAGCTTGTGGAAAGCCTACTTTACATTAGACAATTTCAAAATCACTGCCTAAGTTGTGATAGTGCAAAGAGAACAAGCACTCTCCCTCTGTTATAGGGGAGAAAAGGAATGGGAAGGGGAGGCAGCACTGGATGGAACAGGAGCCAAGTTTCCAGCCTCCTCCAGCTCCCAAAAGTTATGTCATAACCAGAGAACATGCAGTATCTCTAGGAGAAACTGTAACTCCTGGAAATCAGGCAAAACTCCTGCATGCCTGGGGAGAAGGATGATGGTCTTCAAGAAAATGCTAAGAATTCGCATGCTGTTGTAGTGTTAAGGGTAGTGGTTACTATCTATCTTGAAATGTAGAATCAGTCAGGATTAAATGAATTTCACAAATTAGGGGAAGTATCCCATTAGGTCAATAGGTGTGTAAACAGTGATTTAAATATCCCCATTAAAAAAAAAAAGTAACATTACTTAAAACATTTTTCATTTGCAAGAACATCAATTGCCTAGTTAAGAAAAAATATGAGCCACTATGATCACAGACACTGACAGTGAAATGTGATAGCCACAGCAAAGTACCATGGCACTAGATATCCTTTTCTGAATTGAAATTAAAGCAATGAAGTAATAAACATGAAAAATATTTTGTTCAAAGTCCTCATCTGCGTATATCAAGCTACTTTGTTGAAATATTTACTGAGAAGTTTGAAATTTAAGCTACTCTACTTCAAATCTCTGAGCTTTTGTTCAAACATGTATCATGTTCTTAACTGAAAGAAGTGCAAAGGTTCAGTGAGGCTTCATGATAAGAACTAAGCACAAAATAATAAGCAATGATGTCCATGACCATTAAAATACAGGCAGGAGAAATATTTCCAGTGAGGAACTTATTCAATAATGTCACTTTAACATTCTTTTCCTCAGTGTGATAACACACAAGAAGTTATTTGGAACCAGCTGTAATTATCACATATTCATTCTCCATTTTCACTGTTGCTTTAGCCATATGTTCAAAAACATTTGCCATTTACTTGATGACCAGGTCTACGGTTGGAAAATCTGCTTTTAGCCATAAAAAACCCCTTGAAACTACCAATAACCAGAAGTTTCAAGTTATCATGGGAAAAATAAATATTTTACAAAAGAACCACATGAAACCATTGCTATGCATGAATAACATCTTGAACATCTGTGGGTTTTATGATATTTGCTTTCTGTAAACACCTTCTGAAAAAAAACTCGATCAAAAACATTTTTAAAGTGGTGTGCTTTTAAAAAAATAAACAAAACAGGGTAGAGGAATAGAAAAGAAATCTGATTTTACTCATTTTGGTTCATTTAATCACTTCTAATATGATGCTGCTGCAGCATTAATTCCTCTCTTGGTATGACTTTGTGTTTTATTACTCTCCACCTACAGGTTTTTTTTTTACATATATCTGTCAATTTTGTTGCAATTGCAATTCAACTAAAAAGCATTGTAAAAACAGGTTATAAGCCAATTAGAAAAGTTTATACAAGAAATAAAACTTCCTTAATGAATAATTTAGGCTAAATTAATAGAATTTAAGAAAAAATATTTGTTTTGAATTTAAGCAAAGAAAGCAATGGAAAAAAAGTTAGGATATAAGCTGTGAACAGCTTCTTGGAACAGTCAGTCAGGTTATGTAAAAATTGTGAATACTGTCAAAAAGAATAAGTATTTAGGTTTGACAGAAAAATGGACAGGTGGGGTGGGGTTGGTTTGTTTGGGGTTTTTCCCCTTTTTACATCTGCCAGGAGAGACTTTTTAACACTTGAAATTGTCTGCAATTAAACATAACATAAAACCAGATTTTATTACTGGTCCATGGAAAGAAGCTGAAATTCCCAGAGAGGCTGTAAGTTTTCAACAGCCTCATCTGAGAGCAGAGAAATAGTCATAACCATTTCTCCGACAGATTGGGCAAGAGCTGCCAAAACCCCGAAGGAAAAGCATTTTGTTTATATCAGCCCCCACTCAGCACGTGGAAAATACAGCTGCAGAGCTGATTCTCCTGGTCCTCCAGTTTCACACCCCTGTGGACAAAACCAGCCAAATTAAATTTGTGGAGTCACCACCGTGACACACGGAAGCTTAATGAAACGGTTAGAACAGATCTCATGACTTGCAGAGAGAAAAAGGCTGGGCTGTTAGCAAGGGGATAGAGGAGACTCAGGAGCTGGTAAGTCCTCCAAAAGCTTCCTTCCCTCACTTTATAAAAACACCATCCAAAATCTGGCTTTTCAGTACAACCCCAAGAATGTGTTAATTAGACTACTCTTGGGAAAAATTACTCAAACCTGTAACTCTTGTGGCCGGCTCCCTCACACCCTCTGCATGAGGGCCACTCTGCATTGGCAATTCTATATTCCATGGAAGAAATTTCCTGCCACCTGTTTGAAGCATGGAAGGGGGACCTGTGGCAACTGGGCTGTGGTAGAGAGGAGGAGCTGCTGGAGGAGAAGGCCCTGGTGGCCTGTCTGGGCAGCTGCCATGACACATCACCCCTTTGGTTCCAGGTGTCAAGCCCCAACAAGGAGCATATTCAGCCTGTGGCTCCCTCCACAGGCTTCCACCAGGCTGGGGTATGGGGCCAGCACTGGGGGACAGGGGCTTGGCAGCTGCAGGTCCCTGAAAAAAATCAAGACATCCCTTGCTCTCCCCAAAAAAGCAAAACTTTCCAACATGGAAGTAGGGAGGGAAGCAGGGAGAGTACTTCAGTACTCAGCACCAACTAAAGAGACGGCATCCCACTGGAGAACTATTCAAATGAGCCCTTTTAACCAATCCTTCAGCCTACAGGCCACCACTTACAGCAATTTTTTTAATTATTTTTTTTTAAACTGAAGTAACTGAATAACTGGTTTGATCTGCTCTGAGAATTTGTTCTATGTCCTCAGTTTTTCCACTACCACTGACTGTCCTAGAGCCAGGTAGCCCTAAAGGGAACAGTCATGATGTTGTAATCCCTACAAGCAGTTTTACTTGTGTTTACCCCTGGTGTGATACCTCACTGGAAGGTGAATGCTTGTGATGGCAGGACAGGCCAGTTTAGCTTCTCACTTCACCCCATCACCCTGCTCTGTTTCCCCTAATAGCAGAGAGAATGAGGACAGGAAAGAATCCAACATCTGACACGATGTCATAGAAACTTTTCCATTAATTGCAGAAATTGCCATACTTCCTCACTCAAAATACAAGTGCAATTATTTTTTCAGAATGGCTATCCTCTCCTCACCTCACCATCACTTCATTAGCCTTGTCAGCACACGTCATCTCTTTAGCAGCTTGTAATGGGAACAGTAGAGCCAGCAAGGAAACACTAGGGCGAGTGACATGCCTATCCTCTGGGCTTATCCTGACCCTCTGGCTACCTGCTGTGCTTTTGGCAGGTGAAATATGCCACTGCTACAACAAATGCAAGGCTCTTCTGCATAGTGCAAAAAGCAGGCAGATTGCAGAGCAATCATTACCATTGCTGGTGGAATTTCTTATAATCCAACTGGGATAACATGGGCTTAATTAAAAAAAGGAAAATGTCTGTTATCCTCCTATTTGCAAAGAGAATCAACTGAAAGATAAACCTGAAACTCTGACATATGTGGGTCATCAGCCTCACATGGGGTACAGCATGTCATATGAAGGGACTCACTTCCAGCATGTGCCTCTGCCCAGCAGTTGCCACAGGAATTCACACACATCTGAGACTGATCTGAAAAAAATCAGTGTGACTTTATAAACCCTAATAATCTCTAAACTGTTTTAATATCTTTAGTAATAGGCTTTCCTGTATTGCTTTTACCTTTTGGAGGTCAGGTTTTAGTTCTTAGGAGGTCACTCATGAAGCTGCAGTCACTCACAGTTTCATTGTTTTATTTCAATTCTAGATATACTCTCCTGGCTTTTACTAGCAGTGCTAGTAGTGCTTGACAGCACTTAGTAAATTTAACATACACTACTTTACCCTTCTCCTTTGCGATCTTACATATTTCATACTTTTTTCTCTCTAAAGTACCACAGATTAATTCCTCATTTAAGGATCATCTCACAGGTCTGCCAAACTGCACATCAGAACAGTCTTCTGAACTGTTTCTGCAGCTTCTTGATTACACTTGAATAAGGTATGTCTCTCCATGGCCACCTCTTTAATCACTGACTTTACATGTCCTCAAAAGGTGACTCCTTTTGACCTCATGTTCAGGGGAAGAAGAAATCACCCAAACGGGGTAAAAACTGACCTTCAATACCTCCTCACCTAAGCAAGCACTCTTCATGAAGAGAATTCACACAGTACCAGCTCATAGCCCTTCTTCCCACCACAGCCCTGGGACTTACAGAAAACTTGCAGCCAAGAGCCATCAATCTCCTCTCAAGACCAGCACTGGAAGCTGGGGGCAAACGGGAGACTGATTCACAAAGGACCGAAAATTCCTGAGAACACTCTGTCCCTTGTGAGGTCATTTACAGATTTCATTTGTTGCTTTGAAATTAGCTGCAAGTTTGTTCAGATTTCATCCTGTTTGTCCCAATTGACAGATGATCCCTGGCCACCTCTAGCACCTAAAACTTTATTTTCTTTACTGTCTTTACTTTTAATATACTTATTGCCTTCACAATTCACATAGCTTTGAAGACCTCTGAAAGTGTACAGTACCAATGGAGCAATCAAAAAAAAAAAAATCTGTATCTTAATGCACAGAAGCATGTGGTCTTCTCATAATAGGAGAGTTGTTTAATTATGATGTTCACAGAGGGTGGGTGTCTTTTGTCTCTCAGTCAGTTGAACTAGATGATCATTGTATGTCCCTTCCTACTGAAATACTCTATTCTATTTTTATTATTTAACTAAGACCTACTCACAGTTGATACTGCATATGTGTCAGGCAGAAAGCACCTACTGTTTGTCACTTTTCAATAGAGAGCAAGAAGGGTGTGTTGCCTGAAAGGGATGGAGGGAGTTTTAAAAGCTTTGCATTTTGCATATGCTGCCTTGATGTTGCTCTGGGATCTTTTGAACAAACTCAATGTGTGGAAAACATGAATGGCCAAAATAGACACCATGTATAAGTTTTGTGGTGTCCGCAGGTGTCCCTTCATCATTCACAACAATGAAATAGTGAAAGTGGCAAAACACCACAGTACAGAAAGAAGATCACATGGTACACGTGTAACATAAAAGTGTGCCCTATAAAGGTGCTCTATAAAAGAAAGAGCTCTTTATAGTTCTAGAACTTTACTAAGCACTCTTGATATCGACACAAGGTGTCTATTTATAAAATATGCTATTACTTCTGGGTTTAGGAAGGCAGTGCCACTTGGTTTCTTCTAGCCTTTTTAATTGCCTTTGAGGCATGACACCTCTTGGCTTGAAGGAGATCCTTAAGGAATAAGGGTGGGTGTTTGGCTAAAGGAAACTCATTAGTTTACAACCATCTATTCCTCCAGCATTTTCTCCTTCAGGCCACAACATTCCTTTCCTCATCTTCACCTTGTCCTCAGAACAACTAATTTTTTATCTTAGGCACTAAAACAGTCAGATCCTCTGTGTCTTGTCCAAAACCCTGGAACTATCATGAGTATATCTGTTTTCTCAGGGGGAATTCTCTACAGAATAACTTTTCTGATGTTACGTTGGCATCACCTTGGAACACACGACTTAGGAAAAGAGAAAATTCAAGTGGCATGACTGCTTTCCAGCCCTCTTACACCACTAACACACTGCAAGTGAAAAAACCAACCCGCACTTCCCTACCTATGGATCTCCAAAAGGAACCGATTTCCTAAGCAAACAAAGGAAAAATTCAGTCTCTACATTCTCTATTAACCAAAAATTCAGGAGATTTTACTTATTTTCTGGTTGACTTTGATCACTCAAAATTGGTACAGTGTCTGAGTCTTAATTTCAACTGAGCCAAGTCTTAGAGACTAAGTTCTGCACTCTCAGAGCAAAGCAAACGTAATGACAGTCCTGGTCCACTTGCACAATGTATGGTGGTTTTGCCTTATTTTTTCAGGATTCCTTTTCAACAAAAGCTGTAAAGTTATGTTTTTTCATAAACTATAAAGAAGGAGCTCTCTAAACTGTAGTAATTTACTAGATCTGGCAATGCAAGTAGGAAAGCATCTTGAACCACAAGGAGATTAGGCGTTATAAATATTTTCTGATCGTCTCCTTGCTAAAAAGCTGTTCACTCAATGCAAAAGCATGTGCACCATCAGCAAGTTCAGTACCTCAGAGAAAACAATGCATTAAAATGCAGTTTGGAATAACTGATTTTACATTCGCTGTAATGCCTTTTCACAACGTAAAAGATCTTAAGGCTAGTTTGCTTTTGGTCACATAAGCTTCCACATAAACTTCAGTAATCAATTGTTGCTCAATTAATTTCTGCCCTCGTGGCAGGGCAAGGAGTCTTGCTGTCCCTCTTGGTTTTCTGGTTACCCTGTGGAGAGCAGATTTAACACCACCTTCCCTCACTGTCAGATTAGCACTTACAAAGTTCTCGAAACTTAAAGACAGAGTCTCTCAAAGGCATGCCTCAATTTCCTCACTCGCTATCCAAAATGCTCTTATGTCTGAGTCTTGGCCAGCTTGATGGTTCCTCAACACAAGGAAGACCGTCTTGACATGCTCCTGACACGCTCACCAAATTCCTCTCAAGAGAGGTTCCTCCCAAGTTCCTTCCTGGCTCCAGCAAACCAAGTCCCAAGAAGGGCTGCTACAGGGTCCTGTGCCCATCTTGGACCTCAACAAGCTTCTCCGCCCACCACCTACATCATCTTCCCACCCTATCCATCAGAAACTGCTCCCAACCTTATCTCCCTACCTACTCATTTTTGAAGGGGCTACCTCTAGGCACACAATGTGCTTTCTTTGGACTTACTGCCTGTTAGAAAGAAAGAGCTTGGACTCATAGTGATAATGAAATGGGTCACAAGGACTCAGTATTTAACACATCTGGTCATAGCAAGCCTTTTAATCTTTGCAAAGAAGAGAAAATATCGGAATTTTAAAATATTAAACTAAAGAGAGAACTATTTCTCTCTGCATTTAGAGTAAAATCAACAATGTGTCTTACGTGACTGTCCCATTGGACTGCTCTAAGCTGTTTCTGAAGCACGGCAAACTTTATACAGACATAGCAGCCTACAAAACCACCGCAGGATTGGGCCAAGGTCTGCCTGCAAGTTTCCTTCAAAACAGTGCTGCAACTCTAGAATTGAGTGATCTGGACCAAGGCTGAACAAATATTCCAAAATAAAGCTTGAAAAAAAATATGAAGTCACCAATACATAAACGCTATAATTTATTAACACTAAAATAATCTCCAATAACCTCAGGTAAGTACCTTAACAATATTTGCTAATTAAAGTTCAATATTATCTGGAGATTTAAACATGGGTTTTGAATTCAGGAAAGTATTTTGCTACACCTGACATGGTCACAAGGATCTCAGCAAACCCATTGTCACTGGTTTTTATCAGATGCAGCATTAACAGAGCCACAGTCACCGTCGCAACTGAAATGCGCGTGAAGATAAAAGCCATTTAAAAGTAAGCCAAGGCATTTTACTGCAATAAGACCAAGGAGTGCCATAACATGCAATTCCCAAAATGTTGCCTTCTCCCGTTTGAGAACTGACTTCAGAAAACCATTAGGCTCAAAAAATGTTTTTTGCATGCCTTTGACCCTCTATGGAAACAGAGAAGGCAGTCCCCTAGGAAAAGGCTGATTTTTGCAGACGTTTTTCCTATGCCTATTCGTGGCCTAACCCCTGCCCAGGGCACACCTCATGTCGCACTTGGCCAGGTGCACTGCAACCTCTGTGCACAACACGGGGAAGATCCTGAGAGCACTGGCAAGTGGCCCGGGTGAAAGCACCCAACCGATGCAAGTGTTCAGGAAAAACTGAAAACAGCAATGTTTAGCAAATGCCCCACATCTATGCCTCTCTTTCAGGCATTATTGTGACTTTTGTTTGGACCATAGAAAAATATTGCAAATATTTTCAGGAAAACAATTCGGCTGCTCACCTGCACAGTTCTGTGGCCTCTGGGGGAGATGAGGTTGAACCCCTTGCTTGTGGCTTCAT